AGCCGGCACCGCCACCTGCCGACCACGGCCCGGCCAGCCAGGGCCGGCAGAGCCCAGGGCCCCCGGTGCGGAGGGAGAGGCGGCTCTTGCCGTGCAGCAGCTGGGACGGGGACTCCGGGAGAGGTGCAGCAGGCGGGGCTGCCAGCTCCGCCGGAGCCCCTCCCTCCTCTCGCCCCTTCTGCCTCCCGCTGGCCTCAAAGAGGAGCGCCGCAGGTCAGGAGCACCTCAAGCTCTCTAAGCGCACGTCCGCTGGGAAAGCTGCCCAGACTTCCTCTCGTTTGGAGACATCCCTCACCGCCTCTCCCCAAAGCTCTTCAGGTGTCGGGTTGGTGCTCACACCCGCTCTCTGCAGCCGGGAGCACCGCACGCTCATGGAGCCTCCTCTGTGGTGCAATCCTGAACCAGCCATCGTTTGGTCGGTCAGCAGATCTTAACTTGTTCTTGGCCAGACCAACCAAAAACCAAAAGGAAACCCTCTGATTTCTGCTCCTTTAACCTGGCAGAGCCAGGAGGGAGCAGGACTCTTAGTGTTGGTTCCTAATATTGGTCCCTCTAATAGGATCGCTGATTTAAGACTCACAAGCCTCTTAGTATTAATAAGCTAAGCACCGGCAGGTCTGATAAGGCTTTGGATAAAAGAATTTGGTCCCTCGTGCAATGGGGAGGAAAAGCTCACCTGCAGGGAAGCAGGGCTCAGTGGTTGAGATGGTATCCCCAACATTGCTGGGGTGATCTTGTACCCCAGGAGGGACCCAGGACATCCAAACATGCAAAAGCTACCAGGGTGACTAAAGGATGGACATGGTGCCCTCAGTATTAATTCTCTCCTTCAGAGGTGCTCTTCTAGCATCCAGCCTCCTGATTACTGTAGGCAGAGCCATCAGGACTAGTTGTGTGCTGCCTGCCATTTGCTTTACAGCTCGTTGTATGCTCTTCCAAAAATTAGAAATAAATAAATAAGAAGGGGAACAAATGTTATTTTTAAACACTTGGAGCTCACCTCTAAGAGGCTGCTCTGTAATCTGGAATCACTTTCAAAGTCCAGATCAGATTAATTTAGTTTTAAGTAAAAGCTGTGCCATACTGAAGAGACACCACATGCCAAATCTTTTTGTCTTTCAAGCACTGGTGTATTTCACAGATGGATATGTACTCTAGGGTACATCACTTGTCCTACTTGTATTTATTTGAATGCAGATGGTAAATCAAGTCCTTCCCCTCCCTGAGAAGCTGGGGGTGGTCCTGCATATATATGCTCCTGCATATACATCTCTTTGCTTTAATGGTTTCATCAGGAAATGCAGGGCAGCTGGTGCTTAGCTGCTGGTGCACCCTTCCCAGCCTCCTTGTCTCCCTGATGCAAGAAGGAAATCTCTTTTTATCCAGTCCTTTCTGTACCTTACCTCCTGCAAGTGACCAGGCTGGTACTTGGGTTTCATTTTATTGTTTTCAGCTCACTTCAAAAGCTCCCAATGAAAAACATGAATATCTAGTAAGAAAAGGAGTCACTGCTCCACCACTCCTGCTGGCCCAGAAACCATTCCTCCTTCCAGCCAGAGCCAGAGGAGGAGAGGGGGCTGGTTCCATCTCTGTGTGCTGTTGTCAGGAGGCCCCATGACAAGCTGAAACTCCTGGGACAGAGTCCAAACTGGGATCCTGCTTGTCAGCCTTGCCAGAGCAGGCGCTTAATGTCCAAGCTGTGGGGAAGGTTTCAGTGTGCATTTGCAGGTAAAGCTACCTGACCCCAGTGGCATGGATCCATCATCCCCCAGCCTCATGCAGGAGCCAATCCTGCACTCTTGCTGGGATTCTCTTCAGGCTTGCACAGAAGTCCTGGCACAGACACAGGCTGTTTGTCTTTCTGCAGCAGTCGGCTTCTGATCCTTCCCAGGCTCTGTGCCTGCACATGTGAAGTATCTGAATTTGTGGTGGCAGCCCTGAGCTGCTCTAACAAGAGGAGGGTCAGGGGCTCCTCTTGCTCTGCAGTGATCATGAGATGGTATCACTATCCTGGCTCGCTGGGGTCTTTTTGCAAGGTGTTTGTTGTACTACAGGAAGATCTTTTGCATGGCAATATAGGGCTGTGGGGTATTTTCTCCTGCATCCATGTTAAATATATTGTGATGCTGGTCAACTGTCTAGTGCAGTGACAGCTTTGGGTACTGCTGCAAAGGAGCTCAGTGAGTCTGGACAAACACTGGCGTTTTTCTGACTACCCACAGAGAATTCACATTGCTCCGTGCCAGAAACTTTCCAGCAAAAGTGCTGCATTAAAAGCCTAAGAAGTGAGGAAGCTGAAGTGCTTTCTTAGTAGAACCATGATAGGCAAAATGGTATTAATGATACCATAATGACATTTAAAAATAGAGTAAATATATAAAGTATATATTAATTTTCCTGGTTTCGAGCACTTCTTTATTCTTAGCATTCTCTGCCTCTGCCAGTAATTTAACTGGCTCTAATATCCCAGCTTCTATACCTGTGAGTGCTTGTTAATTATGATTCATGCTTTCAAATGGATATAATCCTGGCATTCTTTGTTATCCTGGGCTGTGTCAAACAAAATATGTCCTAGTTTTCTTAGAGCTAACTTTACAGTATCAGACTTAACAAAAAAAAAAATTTCTTATGTCAGTGCAAGAGAAAAATCAAGTCTGTGTTATGTCCTTTGGTCTGTCATGAAGTGTCTTTTTATCTGTACTTGTTTCTGGGCACACCATCATGCACAGATTCTCCTCAGGACCTGTGTAGCACCCAAGTGTTGGGAATCCCAAGACAATCAGTCACAGGTGGCTTTTGTGCCTGGATATGAGCAACTGAACTAAGACCAAGAAATCTAAATAGGACAAGGCAGGGCTTTTGGATCCTGCCTGACACTGGGCTCATAGCTTGTTATTTGAGCTTCTAGCCAACCTGCTAGACTTTAGTTTAAAAATCTCAAAATGTGGCCCCTATGGGACTTCTGTGGACCCTGTTGGAAACATTCTCATCAGGATTGGTGCTTTGTGTTGGGCTTTGATTACAGAGCACAAGTTTTTCCATCAAAAACCTGATTTCAAGCACTTGGCTCCTCAAAATAGACTCACTCAGGCTCCTCAGCCCCTGACCAGCACAGGAGCATTGGCCTCTCAGGGCAGTGGGCCTGACAGACATCCCCCAGCCAGGAAGCAAGGACAACAAACACCACAATGGGAGTCACCTGTCTGAAGCTGTGTACACCCCACCCTTGGCTCCACGGTGGAGCTGGCTAAAGTGAACCTCCAATACTGGTTCAATCACAGCAGAAAACAATGTGAGAGGCAGAGCAGGGGTGAGAAGTGCTGGTACATAGTACTTAGCTCTGGAGAGTTGAGCTGTTACACCAGGGACAGCCCAGCACATGACCCTGTACTATCACAGCACTGGAGGAGCTTGTTCAAGGCTAGGGCATATGTGCTCTAGCTATAAGATGTGCTTGTTGTGTTTCACTCTTTTTATATTCCCTTCTTGACTTGGTCCCAGCAGCTGTAATTCTTTATCCTGATTTTGCCTGGGCTTGTGCTGAGACGATTCTCAATTTTTTGTCTTCAATGGAACAGTAGTATTTTTTCCAGATTTGTGGATTTTCAGTAAATATTACAAAAGTCGGTGTGGTACATGGCCTCTGAACCACTTGTGCTTGTTGTTTTTAAATGCTCTTGGCCTATAGCATCCTTGATTGTCACAGGTCTGGAAAAAAACCATCCCCAGCCTCATTTGATACTTCTGCTACTTTTATAAAAGAATAACTTGCCTTTTCTGCATCAGCACTTACAGAAAACCAAATCAACCAGTCCCCTCTTCAAAACTTCTCAAAAACCAAAGGAAAGGTTTTTGTTTGTGTGTATCAACAACTACTTTTTTGCCCCTGGCCCCTCTACTCACTTCTTTATTGGTTCCAGCCAGCCCCTCCTTGGTCAGTTTTCTACCTGTCCTAATTGTTTAGGTATTAATTGTATTTCCTATTAATGATATACTATTTAATTTTAATTACTACTATAACAAGCCAGGGAACAGCAATGAGCAGCTATCTAGCTGCTTATTTTCCTAATTAGTGACACATCCTTTGGCTTTCAAGTAAGGCTGTCAAAGAACACTCAGGTATGCAGGCTCTGTGTGTCCTGGCTACTGTGTCCCAGTGAGGGGGAAATCACCCCTGTGGGCTGCAGGTACCTGGGCAGGATCCTTCAGCAGAGCAGTGAGGCTTCCACAGCTACAGAAATCCAAGAGGAAGAAGGGGACATCCTAGAGGAGGGGGGGAACTTGCTACTGCGCAGGAGCCTAGAGCTGGTAACTGCTCCTGGCCCTTCCTCCCAGATGAATGATGCAGCCGGAATTGGGTGCAGCTTCTCCAGTACCCTGAATGTCTCTGGTACTCAATGTGCAATTCTCTGATGAGTGGTTGAGGAGCATCAGGTTGATGGAAAAAACCAAAAAACCAAACTAAATCAAAGGGGTGCCCAATACCAGTGGGGCTGAATCACTGAGATGAGGAGTAAGTCAGCATTTCCTTAAGGTACCAGTGAGAGTGAACTGTTATAAATGTCTTGAAGGCACCTGGGCCTCCTCCCTTGGAAGGCAGGTGCGGATAGAGGGGAGCAACACCCAGCAGCACCTCTGCCACTCATGGGACCAGCAGGCTGTCAACGCAGGATGGCCTGTGCCAGACAGAGCATTGCCAAAGGAGCTCCCACTGCCCAGCTGGATTTAACTGGGCCGAAGCATTTGGCGAGCAGTGGGGAAAACAGCCACAAGCCCTCTGCACCCCCAGCTGCCCCTGCACTGGGAGCAGTGGGTGGAGAAGCTGGGCAGAGCAGGAGGACAGGCAGAGGCCCAGCTCAGACATCCTCCCTGCAGAGCTGCATCGTGCTCTCCCAGCCCAGCGGGAACGGGGGCAGCTGGGCTCCTGCTGAGGCACACACAGCAAAAGAGGCACCAGGAAACATTCATTCAGTCCCAACAACAGCAGTGCCCCTCAATTGTTTCAAGGTCTGGTGGGGCATTTTGGGACAGAGTAGTAGCACTTTGAAGGTAACCAGTTACCTTGCTGAAAAACACAAAGGCATCATCAGAAGTTTATCAGATGTGAATTCTTTAATATAAAACCAGGCATGAAAATGGATTTTGAAGACCTGCCAATCCCTTTCACTTTTGCAGAGTTCCAGGTAAAGGACTGTTTCAGCCACAGCAGGGACCGAATCGCCCCCGCCCCAGTACTACACACCATGAGCCAAAAGCGGGGAGCAGTAGGGAAGTTAAAAGTGCAGTAGAGCTGCAGATGACTGTGTCCCTCAGAACCAGGCTCATCTCAGAACTGGCATCAAATAGACTAAACGTTCATTAAAAGGAAAATATTTTGAATTTTATTTTTCACGTTATTATCAAGTACACAATTACAATAATGTCACACATCCCTATATGGTTCTATGTATTTTGTTTTTTTCTTTTGTCTTTTTTACAAAGTGTACAGAGGGAAGGACATATACAATATTTAACAGGGTATTTTCTACAGAACAATAATTTATATTATGTCCTTGTAAAAATCTGTACCTTTTTAAACATTAAACTGAAACATCCATTTCATAGCATTTGCTAAGCAAATTATTTAAGAATTAAAACTAACCTGTAACTAATGTCAGTACATTAACAATAACTATAATTTCCTTTTCTCTTTATACAGACAAATACATTTTACAAAATCCACTTGACCAAACCCTTAATTATTAAAAAAAAAAGTTTCAACATTGTGCTTTAAAAAAAAAAAAAAGTGTATGATTCCAGGCTACGTAAGAGAAAGAAAATGCGTAAAATTGTGTTCTTTGTCTTTCAGCTTATTTAAAAAAATAAAGTTCAAAATGGCTAAAATCCTCAGCACTACTATGGGAATTTATGCAGATTTTGTACACTTTCCAGGTTTCCAGTTAGAAAATGCTTGAACATAAGAGAGGAAACAAAAGTAGTCACAGGCAGGTATTTTGCAAGAAGCAAGTGGGAATCTCTGCTGGGTTTTACTGCATCTGGTTTGGCATCAGCAGGCAACGGACACTACGGCCATGGAGGAAATCCACTGGCTTCAGCGGGGATTTCAAGGAAGGCACAATGCAGCACAGCCAGGAATTACACGCTAAAGGGTCATGGCCCGCTAGTAGCAATATTACACAAGAGCACACCCCACAAGTCTGGGGGCACTGCAAGCAGGCAAAGAAAGAAAAAACCATCCTACAACACAGGCAATGGCATTGGACTCTCCTCAACCGCACACTACAGACAAGAATTCCAGCTTACAGTGAGACAGGAGGGATAAGCAGCAGGGGCAGGGCTTGGTAACAAGACAAAATACAAAAGGCCTAGAAGATGCACATCCACAAAGGAAACCTTTGTCCTTCCATCACCTCAGACTTGAAACCAACACTAGAATTCCTGTTTGATTTCAAATTGGAAGTTCACCTGCCTAGAAACAGGAATTAACACTGGCCCAGTCTCTGAAGCCTTTCCATTAGTGAATTGTTGGTTATAAATCTATCCTAATCTGGCAGGCAGAAGGGACTGAATTCTGCAATCCACCATCAAACAGTGGCTGGGGTAAGAATTTGAGCAAAGGAAGCAGGGAAAGGTCCTAAAATCTGGCTTGTAATTAAAGTGGTTTGGGTTTTTTGCTCCAAGGTTGTTGTTAAAGTATGTGACTTTGTGCTTGGTACATTTACACTGCAATTAGCAAATGATATGGAGCTACTTTATAATAGTCTTCAGGTGGCAAAATTGCATCTAATAATTGTAATATTCTCCCAGCTGCTTATAGACAGATTAAAAGAACTGGGTTAATTCTGGATACTGTACTAATTAATAAACAGCAGCTGAACACTGCTACTAATGGCTCAGGAAAAACATTTAGTAACAGAATTGCATCTATCATAAGTTACTTCTCTTATTAAAGCTATCTACGTTACAACGTCTCTACTCCTTATGAACTCATCTGCTCTGCTCCATTCCCTTCTGAAGCTCTCACTGTAAATATCTGGTTTCCAAATTTGAGGCACCTCTTGGTCTTAAATTTTATTCTAAAACAACTAATAATAAAATTGTGACTTGAACCACAAACTGCTCTTTCAAAGAAATACCAACATACATAAAAGCATAAAGTTTGAGGTACGTTTACCAGCACATACAGACAGTTGTGACCTATTGTTAACTCTGCAAATGGAACAAGAGTATTTTACGTTTCCAACATTTAAGACAGGAGTAAAGCGGAAAAAACCCAACTCTTTTGTAACACACAAAACCCTTCAAAGACAAAGAAGCACAGAACAATAAATGTAATATTTGCGCATATTTTAAATTTGCCCAGGAAAGATAAAAACCGCTCCAAACCATTTTTAAAAGTATTTTTATCTCTGAAACCAGAATGAAAACACAAAGTGAGACTTGTAACTCCTCAACCAGAAAATAGTTAACCTGCCACGAAGACTGTATAGTTAAAACAGGACAATCAGGTGGGCCCTAGTGACTTTAATGTCAACATGACAATTCCCCATTTTATACACACCTCTGACAATTTTATCAAGAGAAATTTCTTATTTTTAAAATTCACGACAAAACTGCATTAACATGGACACTGTGAGTATCAACGAGGTCAGTAAGATAAATATACTTAAATAAACTATTACGCTTGAAAAATTCAGTAAGAGACAGGGTTTACTTTATTAAATGCAACTTTATTGTTGCCATCTTTTCTTCATTTATTAAACAAACTGAATAGAATTCCGAACACGCTATTGAACAAAAGGTATAAAAGTCAACTACAAGCAATAATCCTATTTTTATACAGCAACAAATCAAATGCACAGTATTTTTTTCGTTTTTTTTTTTTTTGTGTGTGTGTGATCGCAGGTGATTGGCTTTAAAATAAGCTAACTGCCTGAAAGGCAAATTTCCTTTCTAATTCCAGCCATAAGTCTGTGAAAGAGACTTTAAGGCAGCCCAACATCTTTATGATGTCGCATAATGTGCTGGTTCTTCTCTGAAGGCCTTCGGAAACCTTTCTTGCAATACTCACACCGGTGAGGGTAGTCTTTTGTGTGAATGGAAATCACGTGCCGTTTGAAGCCTGAGGCGTCTGTAGTGCTATACTCACAGTACTCGCACTGATAAACTTTCCTGCCACTGTGTGTTTTCATGTGTTTTTTCAGCTCGTTTTGTTGCCTAAAGCCCTTTCTACATCTCTTGCACCTGAATGGAAGATCCTTTGTGTGAACTGAGAGTATGTGGCGGCTCAGAATGAACGGATCTGCAATTTTAAAGTCACAATGTCTGCATTGGTGCAATTTTTTACCTTTGTGAGCCGCCACGTGTTTTTTCAGTTCCGAAGGCCTGTGAAAGCCTTTATCACACATATCACACTTATGAGGATAGTCTTTTGTGTGGACTGAAATAATGTGTCGTTTCAGATCACTCGAGTTTGAGCTCTTATGGTCACAATGCAAACACTGATGTGTTTTACTTTCTTGATGCATAAGTGTATGCTGCTGTAGCTCTTTGGTATCTGAAAAAGTCTGGAAACAAATATCACACTTCAACGGCGTTTCCTTACTGTGTTTAGTCTTTACGTGGGTTTTCAAGTTGGAAGAGTCGGCAGATCGGTATTCACAATATTGGCACTGGTAGGGCTTCTCACCAGTGTGGATCCGCATGTGCTTCTTGAGCTCCGACGGATGGCGAAACCCTTTGCCACACTCCACGCAAATGTGAGGAAAGTTCTTGCTGTGGACAGCCAAAAGGTGGTGACTCAGTAACCCTTGTTCCGCTGTCTCATAATCGCAGAATTTGCACTTGTGCATTTTATTAACTCCTTTGTCCCTGTGCACCATCTTGTGAGTAAATAAAGTTCCTGCATGAGAGAAGGTTTTCCCACACTCGTCGCATTCAATAAGCTTTTCTGTTTTGTTGGTCAGCTTATGACTCTCCAAGTGGTTATGTAAACTTATTTTTTTATTCGTAGTGTAATCACAGTCTGTGCATCTGTATTTCTTCTTAGTAAGAAGGTGCTCTGGGTGGTTTTTCATGTGCCTTTTCAAGAAACCTCTGGACTTAAATTTCTTTCCACAAATCATGCAGGGGTAGACTGTCAATGGATGACCATCGGGGCCAATGATTATTGCTGAAAAACAACCAAAAAACCCTTTATCAATATTATACAACAATACTACAGTTCAATAAATGTCAGATGTTAACAAGAAGATGGATTGTTGAGAAAGATGGGATACACACATTTTACCATACAATAAACAAGCTTGTTAGTTAGTTAGGCAGAAGAAACTGAGGGAATTACTACTTTCACTCATTTTTATTACTAAGAGAAAGGAAACACTGTTTTTTGATGGAAACAACCAAAGATGTTCTTCACCTCAAATAATTTTATTTTGAAGAATTCTGACTGAGTTGACACATTAAATACATGCAGGAACCAATGGCTGATACAAAGAACAGCAGCCAACTTGTTAAACTGAGTATCATCTAGTAAGCAAAGCACACAACCTTCTCTTGACTCTACAAATCTGTAGATAAAGTTTAATCTGGCAATTTAATCACCTACCACTGACTACAATTCAGATGTCCCCAAACTAACACCTCCTTCTTACACCATCTGTCACAGCTACAATCTGAAGAGCTACCAAGCAGGAATAAATAGGAACATGTTTCACATACAGAAACCTCAAAGCTTTGGAAATAATTTGCAATCATCTATCACCCCGATTTTTTTACCCTATATTTGCCTAGGCATGTTAAAAAAGCTGTCTAGTCCAAAAACATTTTATAAGGAGAACTGACTAGCTGGAAATAGAAAAGGCCAACTTCAATTTGCACAGTTTACTAACTCAAGCTAAACAAAACAGAACTCCTACAGTTAAGTCACAATTTGGAAAGGAACTTTTAGTACTATTTAAGGCAAGGCTATTGAAGAAAAAAGTTTTTTTTCAACTTTATCAAACCAAATAAATATTCTGACCGTAACACAGTAACAGCAGAAACCAAATTATGCCATAGAACACTTCTGTTCTTATAGGTGAAAGTAAAAAGATAGGCACAAACATCAAGCCAATTTTATTTCACCATTAAAACAGGAAACGGTATAGAAATTACAATACTGAACATTAATATAGAATGTTCAGACTTTCCAGTAGCTACTGAGCTGATATAATGAAATGCTTTGTTTTATATATTTCCAATAAAGACAAAAAGGGTTTTTTAAAGGTAATATTACAGAACACCATTTATCTAACATCACCTTTTAAAAAGTTAAACATTAGAACAGGTGTGGCAAGTTAAGTATATAACCTTTTAACCTTTTACTATGATACTTTTACCTATGTCAGAGATGGCTTCCTTTAAATCATCTGTCACAATCCAAATCACCCATGTATTTAATATTTTTAAAATAAAATATGCAGTCATTTATAAAGAAGAAGTGTTGTCAAACAAATAATTTCCCAAATCCCTCTTTTTACAAGACACTCCAAATGCATCTGTTTATGGGCAAGTGCCTGTATGAATGAGAGCCTGGCACCACATACTCACCTGTCTGATACTGTCTGGACTCAGGTCTCCTCTTCTTCTTTGGTTTTTGCTTGGCCAGTCTCCCAAGTCCAGATGACTCATCTATGTGCAAAAGAGCACTTGCAGTCCCATTCCGACTTTCGATGCCATCGTTATTATTACCTACCAAGGTAAGTTAAAAAGTTACCTACCAACACTGCAGGTAATTTGAGCACAAATTCTACAATGGTAGCAACAGAAATGATAAACTATTATCTGGACATTTAATCAAAATGTAATCATGTACAGCATAAGCTGCAAAATGTCTCACCATTAACTTAGGAATTATGAATAATAGAACTTGGTATTATGAGCATTAGCTTTGTTAACCTAACTTTACAGGAGTACATAACGTACAGGAATTAATCGCTTTTCATTACACAGAGAATTCTCCTTCAAATGCAGCATTTTTTGAATCTCTTTGGTTGCTAATTATACCCAAAATGTTTAACATTAGTAAATAATACCAAGTAACAATATTTACTGTGCCTGATTTTTGTCTCAGTCCTGAAATACATTTGTGTGTGAGCTCTCATTCACTTTTGCATGTCTGAATTCATCTGACTCAAGTTTGTCACACACCAAGTTTCTGAACTGGAGCTGCAATCAAAGAATCCTTCTAAACAGCCCATAAGGCGGCAAACAAAGTACACTACTTACTATTTATACACCTGATGCTTTAGCACTTACAAATTCTTTATACTGGGAACAAAGAGCATGTTCAGTGTTGTGTAACAGAAAGAAGGAAAGAGTCTTTGCCTCACAGAGCTTTGTGTTTAATACACAAATGGTATCACTGTATGTAAAGCAAACATGAAAATTACAAATACATTCAAGAAGGTATTTATTGGCAATCAATTTAACATTGGTGCTTTAAGAGCATAAGTGAACTTTTAGTAATAAATTTTGTGGTCAAGTATTTACTTGAATCAATAAAAGCCAACATTTCCTAGTGAAAACAAAGCACACAAATAAGACAGGAAGACTCAAGTGGAAGAAAGTGCAAGATGCTCGGTAGCTGTTCCTTTAGTTAAGCGCTGAGAATTAATATTCGTGATTAATGTAAGGAGACTCTGAGCCAGGCACATGTGCAGAGCCTGAAGATTCTCATCTATATGCTTCCTCAAGTGTTCCTCTGCCATTTTCAGGCCTTCATGCTTAATTTCTCCCTGTCCCCACCATCTCTCACTCTGCATGCTAGGTTGCTTACTGCTGACAATTAAACCACTCCACAGTTTTCCACATTCTTAAATTCTCCTTTCAATTCCATCTCACTGTTTTTAATACATTCTTCTCAATTTTCTCCCCCTCCATCAAAATCACTGAATGTTTAGTATTCAACTTGTTTCAAGTTCACTTGATTTCAGTTTCAATGCCCGCCCAGACTGGCATAGGTCATTTCCTTCTCACTCAAACTGGGCTTACCAGTATATGGCCTAAGATAAGGCTTTGGGTGCACTACCAGCCATCTCTTAAGTAACTTTTAAACACACTGCTTGGTGAAAACTTGCCCTTCCTGGCTTATGTCCAAGATTCCAGCCCCCACTGTATTCCCAGCACAATTGTCTGCTGGCATCATCACCACAATTCATATCATGCAAACATCTAAGTTTTGTCCTCTACTCCACTATTTCCTTTGATTTGTTTAGAAGGAGAAAGGGGCAACAAAGAAACATTTTTTTCAGATGAAATTCTGGTCTTAAGCCTACAAAAGTTTGGGAAATCAGTTTGTGCACCAGTTGGTGTTCACATCCCAATGATCAAGAAAAATGTTTCTGCATGCTGGAAATACTCTCAAGGTTCTGCTACGTATTTAAAATCTCCCTCCAACTTCTTTTCATTAATCAATTAATTACTGATTAATCAATAATTTTTATAATGAAATCATGTATTTATATGATCTTTCTAGAAAGCATTTAAATCGAGCTAGAGCTCAGTGCTGCTTTTCACTGCTATACTGAATCTTACCTATACCCATTTGCCTTCTTTTTTTGCCCCTCTCCCTAATAAAAATATTCAGTTCTACTCCCAAGCCAGCTCTCACTGTATCCTAAAACTCTGAGATATACTTGAGATTCAATTTTTTAGCTGGAAGCTCATGTATTTTCCCTTTCGCATCATGAAAGTATGAAAGAAAATGTCTCTTAAATAAGAGCAAGAAGCCTGCCTTACAACTTCCCTCTTCCTTTCTTTTTAAGGCTCATTATGCTAAGAAACCATTGTTAAGCTAAAACTCTATAAACAAACACAAAAGCACTAATAGTCTAGACAACCCTCCAAAAACCAATCCCTGGCACTTTGCTGCAGTGTTACCAAGAATAATTATTCTGAATATTGCTTACCATAAGCTGCTGCCCAAGCTATGGGCATGAAAGTTTTAATTTCGGTGTCATCGATTTGCTGTTCATGGGCGGCTGCGGCATCCTCCTCTCCTACAATCACTTCCATATAAACCTCATCAGCTATTTCTGCAACATCTAAGAGAAAAAGAAGTTTAAAAAAAAAAAAATAGGAATGCTGCACTGCTGAAAGTGAAAATCCCTGTTCCCAAAGGAAAGCCACCTACTTACTTAAGTCTTCGTCTTCATGCTGAGAATCATTTACAGTCATGTAAACCATTTTCTCCCTTGGAATACGAATACTGCTATTTTGATCGAGCAATCCAACTGCGTGGTCATTCTCTGGCTCGCTCTCCACAATGTCTACTGTTCCCCCTAATTAGGAAGACCAGAGCAAAATATTTTACATACACGTGACCAAAATCTACACTAAACCACAAAAAACTGCAAGTTTGTCAATTCTTTAGTATCAGACTCACAGGTCTTTACAGACCACTTGAGAGAAACCACAGCCTCATGCAAAATTTCAAGTGACAGGTTGGAGCAGTCTCAAACAAGTGTATTTTACCTAAATCGTCTTCTCCAGGATCTGCTTTGAATATATAGACCTTGATGACTTCTGGACAAATGCCATCCACTTTACAAGAGCCACTTTCTGACTCTGCTTCCATGGTAATTTCAGCAGAACCTTCGTGTTCTATCTTACCAGCATCATCCACTACAAAAACAAGTTATTACAATTACCCAGTCATATGCAGACAGACATATATGAAAGACTTTATTAATTTATGACTCAAATTTGGAAGCAGTTTAAAATTAAAAAAGTTTGATAAAGAACCTACCCTTTAATATTTTTTTCATATCCTTGAAAACAATGACAACACAAAAATAAATTCAAGCTGTTATCTTCTAGTTAAGGTGGAAGTGCAAGAATGCTGCAGTGACAGAAACTAGAAGCATGAACACCTCACCAGGCAACCCTAATAAGGAAACTGTGATCTGCAGCAAGATGATGGTAGGAAGAAAGTACACATCAGTACTTCACTCTGTGGCATAATTTCACTTATTCTCAGTTTTAATTGCTTTCTCCTTCACAACTAATAAGCTAGTAATTGTTCTTTTCAAAAGCATTATCTGTTGCTCAACCCTGTCTGATGCAAGTGGTACTACTGCTGGCTGTCAGACCTGGTTCCCTGCAAAGTGCTGGTAGTGATGATTTTCCAGCTGCCAGGAGAGGAAACCTGAACAGCAACTCCGGGAAATAACTCTTTCACTTTCCTCCTGCCATCCACAGCTGGGGGATGGAGCACAGCACCCCAGTGCTCCCCTGCCACTGCAGTGCTGGGAACCTGTCCCTGGTGCCCTTCCTGACAGAGCCTTGCACTGCATTCCTGCTGCTGCCCCAAACTGCACTTCCAAACTTTCCTCTACCACCTCCAGAAGGGCACCCACACCACGCTCCAGCCTGAACTGCCGAAACTTGCCCAGAATCCCACATACACATGGCTGACAGCCAGCTTTACGAGGAACACACTTGGATTTTTGAGGCATACTGTACACAGGCACCTCCCCCACATCTTACTTTACTAAGAACAGGTTTTCAAGAAAAAAATAGTAAGAATGCATTCAAAAAAATCAAATCCAGTGTCTCAAGACCTTGGGAGAATCTTCCAATTTCAGAAGCCCTGGATGTTTCTTCAGTGTTGAGATTATTTAAGAATTCTTAACATGACAGAATACATTTGTAATTTGTGACTTTACTGTCACTCCCTAAGAGTCACACATGACTTCAGTTCATGACAGAAAGACACGGAATTTATACTAAGAAGTCTAAGAACTGTCCTATAAATGCTGAAGAATTTTTAACTACCATGCCTAGCATATACCAAATACTTCACCAAGTATGCTTAGTGCTTTACTAGCACTCACTGAACTACCCTCGTAAATAAATCATAGCTTTACTACTCAGTAACTGCATTCTTAAACTTATTTTAATACATACTTCAAAAAAAAGCTCAACATGTTATTACTATTACTTTTCTGCTATTAAGTCAATAAATTAGCCTTTGAATTAGACAAACTATCACATGTTCTGTCTCACGTATCAAACACAACTGTATTTAAGTACAATTTCTCAATCAAGCAGCATTACTCACAAAAATATTAATAACATTAAATTATAAAGCACTAACAAGTTTGTCTCTCTCCTTACCAAAAGAACAGCAAAAAACCACTAAATACTCGAATGCCATGATCATGATCAGTGGCCACTGTACAGACTGTTTCAAGCAGTAGGATGTTTAAAAAATTACTTTGTGTCATGAGACAACATAACATCATGTAGCTGAACCCCAGAGTATATAAAAGTAAAAAGCTTAAGCTGTTCTTTTGAATCATATTAACAATGTAGCTCCACAGTGTGTATATTCAGTTACCAACAGACTTTTGTGACTTTGTCGTAACCATGACATACGAAATGTCATTGGAACTCTGACAAAAAAGAAAATTTGCTTTTGTTCCTACACTGCATTTATGTAGCAGTTCTCCCTTAACTTGGCTGTTTCCAGTGTCAGGCACATGTACTTGGAAGGCTTTCAAATCAGTGTAGACTGATTTTACACCTCTGAAGCCAAAAGGGAAGTCTGCCACCAAGATCAACTGATGGCTGGAACATACCCACAAGGAAGAAAAATCATGGTTGAATCAATCAGAGAGAAAACAAACCTATATGCATGATGTGAAACGGGCCTATTTCTTTTAACCAAACAGGAGTTTCTTTCTTCCATTTAAACATGGAAGTATCCATTGATAACTTTCACACAGCAGATGACTTCTGAGTCTTAAAAACATGCTCTATTCATGCTTCGAAATAAGTTCTCCAAGATTCTAAGTATTACTTTATCCAACATAATAAAAAAATAGTTATGCAATTTAGAGTTTGCTTATCCCTGAATTCCCTTTATATTCAGCAATGTTTTAAAAATATAACAACTGGTTCAAATACTTTTTAACAGATTCATTAAATTGTAAGGAAATTGATGAGTAGGAGGTATGAAGTCAACTTTTCTCATCCAAAAGGAAAAACATTCACTCTTAACAGGTGGTAGTACTTTAAAAACTGAAGTCCTTCATGGGCTTGAAAAGCAGTAATATTTGCAGTATAGCAATAAATGGATAAAAGATGAAAAATAGGATGGAAAGAAATAGATAGGAAAAAAGATAAAAATAAAAGGAAGAGACAAACAAGGTGAAAGAGAATGGGTATCTATTACAGAAAGTACCATTTCCAAGGTAATTTGTCCTATGGCTACACAAGCATTTATTTATACTGATTCACTGGCAGCATTTTATGAAATTTTCTTTCTGTTAAACATTTGCCCAAAGTTTCTGCATTCTCCATGTATGTGTTTTACAATCAGAGAAAACAATATTCAGAAATACTTGACTGATCAGTTTCAAGTTGGAACTCTGATGATATTAATTTTTCATTTGAATCCATAGCTCATCGAGGGGTCCCACAAATAACCATCCATGGCTGATATTCTTTCATATTGTTCTTCTTGGACATTAACAAAAGAAAAAAACAAAAAAAACCCCAACCAACCAAACAAAAGAAAGTACTTAAAGTTCAGGCTAGCATTACTCCAGTGGTGTCATACCTTTTGCCTCCATTTTATCAGATATGAACTGGACAAAGTAAAGTAAAAACTTTAAATGTCTGATTTTTTCCCCCCATACTAGCTTTCATTCAGTAAACAAGTGGATACAGACCAAATCTCAAGAGTTAAAAAAAAAAACGAAAACAAAACACACCAGAAACCAGAAAAATTACTAGACACAGTATTTTACATGAATTGCAAGAATGTGGTTTATGGTTAGTTTGCCAAAATTCTTCACAGGCTTCACTGATTAGAGCAGCCTGCTCTTTGCATACGATGAGCTGCAAGAAACAAGTATGTGCTTCTCCAATGTTGCAATAATTGCTTCCACATAAAGATATTGCTAGAATTGTTATTAAAAGCACAAACAGATGAGAAAGGTGTCACACAGTATGGAAGCCGCAGCATATTTAAAACCTGTCTAGTTAGCACTTAAAAGGAAATCAACGAAAAGAGACCAACAGGTAAAAAAAGGAACAAGAAATAAAGAATAAATTAAAGAAATAAAAGATACAGACAACAAAAGATTCTATGTGATCTATCACAATGACAGCATTAATTTCCTAGAAAACACTAAACTTAATTTTATAAATAATGTCATAAACTAGTAACAAACAAAGAACAATTATCTCCAGTATTTCTACCCTTCTATTAAAGCATGTCCAATGGCATTTTTGTGACAGAAACAAGCTCCTATGCATGGATAATAAACTCCACATTTAAAACCTTGTTGAGGCCAGTTTCCCCACACAGAAGGATGCCAGGCCAAGATCCTGATTTGCTTCAATAGAACATCTCTTGTTCAACCATGATACATACACTTTCCCCAAGAAGCTGCTTTTAGTTTTTTATATCAATATTTGAGGGATAGGCAGATGAAGACTTTGTACCCTTACAGTGGTTTATTTGTAATTTAAAAATGCAAATATAACTGCCTTTATTTTTAATGGATTCCGTAGCTTTTTAAACTTATTCTTTCCTACCATTTCACCTCTATGTGGGATAAATGAGGAAAATTAAAAGACTGTAAAAAATAAAATTCACTTAAGCACAGAGACACCTTCCATCTTTTTCAAGTACCCACTGCTTATTGCTAAAAAAACACACCAAAACAACGTAAGGAAAAGTCTATCTACACCAGTTAAACAGATCTTAAAAATGTGTCAATGGAGCAATTAGACAAGAATCATCTTTTTTGTCAGCCTTCAGTTCCCAAATGGTTCTCTTGTGTATCATGGGACACTTGTCTGCTTACAAAAGAAACAACCCTATTTAGGAAATCTTAATGAAAAAGGCCATTACTAACTATTCTCTCTAAAACAGATTAAAAGCATTCTGTTTTCCCCTGGCTTTGATCAGTTGTGACAGAAACATCTACTTCACTCAACAGCAGACCTAGTCCACAAAAGAAGCTATTTTTACCATACTTATTTCTTGAATGGCAAAGCAGGTTTCCTAACTCGTGAGAGAAGAGAAATCTGCTCTATTTGCATTTTAATCCTTTGCCTTTACACGTGAGAATATCCTATGCATCTAAAGGTCCCTCCAGGGCAGTAATCTAGTAGAGGTGCAATTCCTGAGCTCCCAACTGGGATCTAACACTTGTCCTTCTTGTCCTCTGCCCCTAGCACACAAACCAAACTAAGCTCTGAGACATCACTCAGCCCAAGGTGACTCTTACTTCCATCACCTCTCAGGGTAACCTCCTGAACAGCCAGAGCTGCAACAACTGTTGATGCCACTCCAGTGGTCAGAGAGAGGCATGACAGTAAGTTCTACCGCTAAGAAAGAAAAATGTGATTTCCTGCATCTTTAGCAACCTCCAGGGAAAAAGAGAGAGGTATTTATGCTAAAAAAGCAATTGAAAGCATTTTGCTTTCTTGACTCGAAGTCTACTGGAAGGCCCTAAGGAAAAGCATGAACGCTATGGTTTGGTTCATCAGATCCATTGCTTTCAACTTAAGCACCCAACAAGGATGAAAAAAGATTGATTTTCATAGGCTTAGGTGAAACCTTTCTCTCTGTGTGAATTACCCTGGGTTCAGACTCCTGTAATGAAAAGTGTTAATTCAGATTAAAAAAAACCAGAGACATGTCTAACTTGGAGAAAAGCAAGGGGATGGAGGAATGGATGGATATAACAGTTCCCATATTTGCAAATATTTAAATTCTTAAAGCTGTAGTTTAAGCCTCGTGAGGCTGCCCTTCACTCTTTCCAGACTCTTGTCAAACTTCTTTGCCTCTCTATTTTTACTGCAATAAGAGTGTATCAGGATACAACTTTGCATCTCATAGAATCAGTTCACATCAGAGGATGTGCCTACCTTTGCCAAATAGAATGAAATCAGGCAAAACCCCCTTCAATTTCCATCTTATGCTAGGCTCTGCTTTCCTTGGTTAGTAAAAGCATGATAGTTTTTTTTGTTTTGACAAACACCAGCTAATCTCACCTCCACTGTTTCACTTATGGAGAAATGGTTTTCCAAGCTACCAAATAATTAGTACCAGTGTGGGTCACAGAACAATTTGTACTTTTCAGACCTAACTCATGAACTGGCTTGTTATGGAACATACAAAAGGGAAAGGGAAAAAAAAAAGGAAAAAAATTTAAAAAATAAAAATCAAACCTCCTTTCATCTTTTTCAAGCCACTAACTGGTAGGTTTGTATTCTTAGTTGAATTAATATGTGATTCTGCTCTTCTGCAAGTGCCTCAAATCTACCATGGAACAAAAATGGATCTTGAGGGCAAAGACAAAGTATCCAAGAAAAGAAATTAAGTACATCAAAAAGTAACTAGTGATATAAAGCTGTGCCAAGAAACATTACCTTGAAAATGAATATAGAAAAAGCATATTAATGCCAAAGCTAAAATAAATCTAACTGGGAAAAGAAATATTAAAAATACTGAGTTCATTGAAGCAAAGTCACAGAATGAAACCCACAGGAACTGTTCTCTTTGAAAAGACAAATCAGCCTGAGACCAAGAAAGAAGGTTGAAATACAGCATTAAAAAAAATGTACACACAGATTAATCATTCCAAATTGCATATTTTCAGAAAAAACCAAGAAAATTATCTTAAGAAAACATATGTATACTCAGCTTATTAGGAACAAAGATGGAAATGCTTAAAGAGAGCCATAGGAAAAAGCAAAAAGATTTTGCTAATAGCTTTCAGTGGAGAAAACAGATGGAGAAACCTACAACAGAAAGAACACGAAGCGTCATCCCCTGTTTTTCAAGTGCCTATCTAAAAGAAGACAGGCAAAGGCATTCTGAAGAACACAGTCTAGCTCCCAGATCTAGGAAGCAGCAACATTTGGCTACAGTAATGGCAGACAAGATTACATTCCAACATCTGCCCCTGCAGTTCAGGGAGGTTTGCCAGAATCAAACACAAATTTACAAGTTGGGATGAAAAACCCAAAACTGGATCGGCTCAATGTTATTACCTTTTGAAAACTAAGTTCAACTGAAAAACTGAGACAGGCATCAGATCAATGAACACATATACACTGCTGATGCAAACAAAAAAAATAATGAAAAATTAATTCAAATCATATTTTTCATACAACAAAGACTGTTTAGCAAGACAATCTCTATTTGATGGAAAAGCACCAGGCTCTGCCTTCACAACCAGAAGAACTTGTTATGCAGGCTTTAAACACAGTAGGTGGTAGTAGGGACTTCCCTTTAAAATTAACTGTAGAACATTAAACACAAATAGAACGCATATTTTGTAGCATAATGATTATTTTAAATGCTGGATTACTTAAGGGTCTGAACCTAAACAAAGTACATTGCAAGAGAAATTTAATAATAAATAAAGTACGAAACTGCAGAAATATGTGACTGAAAATGGAGACTATCCCAGCACAAGCGAACAACGAAATTTCTGTGCTTCCTGCCAGTCACCACCTGTTGACAACTGACTGATAAATCTAAGAAGCCTTCCCAGCTAGATAGGGATCATCCAAAATGGCCTCTACCAAGACATTCTGTCTTTGTTCAGTCACTGCCAGTGATGAACAGGACACACATCCACCCACCCCTCTCTGTGCACTTAAAAAGGCGTGGTTTGCAAGGTGCTCCATGGCAGCAGCCCCAGAGGCCCTGCACTACTGCAGGAGGAAAACCTGCACAGGAGGGGTTAGCAGAGACAGGAGCAACAGTGCCTTGAAGAGCTACAGTCAGGGATATGGAAGAGGGAAGGATCACCACCAGAATCAGGCCTCAATTATCCATGGACAGATTATCCAGTTTGCTGTCTAACTATGCGGCAGGTTCAGAAGCATTTAAGCTGCTTTCATCTAATCTAACTTGGGTCCAGAATCAGAAAGTTTTATCTGTACCAAACTAGACAGACAAGAGTGCATTTACCAGTTTGGATCAATACAATTTCAGAACAGCTCCCCTGACCTATTTCACCTCAGTACAATCCTGCAGTTTAATTTACAATATTTTGTGTGATCCATATTTTGCATTATCCCATTTCATTGTTTTCCCAGATAATAGAGAATTAACTGTACCTCATATAAACTCAAAACATGGCTGCAACAAGGTTACTCAAGGAACTCAAGAGATGATAAATTAAGAAATGCAGTGATCCTAGGTAAGGAGAAGCAACATTAAAATTTGTAAGTACAGAATATAAAATTAAAACAAGTTATTATACATTTCAAAAATGTGTCCAAAAGTAAAGAAGGGGGAAAAATGAAAAAAAAAAAAAAAAAAAGAGAAAAAAGATAACTGAAGCACAGCACGAAGTACACCTCATCAATGGAATTATTTAACACCACACAAAACTGAAGTGCCTGAAATAGCAATTAAACAAAACAGCCTAACAAGGCTTTTCTATTTCTACAATAAATAAATGTTCAGCATGACACTGTGATGTTCCTAGGTGCTGCACTGAGTAATCATTATAATATGTAACATACTTAAACTCTAGTTCACACAAATTGATATCCTCAGTAGAAAAAGGATTGATGATATGCTCTATTTTTCTCCACCCTCTATTTAAGCCTTTTGAAATATGATTCAAATGGATTGTGCCACTGTTCCTAAGGGAGATTAATCACTTCTCAGTTATGAGCAGCAATCGCTACTCTTTTTGTTAGCTGCATACCTCTGTCCTTTGCTTAATCAAGAGAAGAAAACACATCCTAACAGCAAAGAAAACCGTATTGCTGTCTATATCCAACAATAAATGGAGTGCAAGAGGTGGGGGCTTAGCAAAAAAACAAGACAAGGATTGGATTTTCAGAAACCATGGTTTTTTACTCTTTCTTTTTCATGAAATATTTTTGTTTCTTTAATGTGTTGGTAGTCATTTTAGTAACCTGCACATAAAAGCATTTTTAAACATTGTCACATTAATTTTCTTTCAGTTCTTATTAAGTATATGGCATTTGGTTTACTGGAATTCTTACTCTTGTTCATACACCATAAATTGCTACAGAAATAACTTATAATCAGACGTGCATTTGCCTGTATTTCTCTCCATTAGCTTCACCACAACTTTTAGCTGGTACAAGCTCCTAAAAATCCCTCTTTGTGAGTACATTTGTGAGATCTGCATTTCAATAAAAAATACAGAAACTCTGCTTTGGGTATTGTCTTAATCCCTCCCTCGTATATTTCAAGCCCGTATCATAAGAAGTTTGATGGCTTTACCCAAACACTTACAGGAAATCATAAGGTAATCATCACAGTTGCCCTTCTCATCTTGATGTTCCACAGGGATTCCATTGGCATCGATCACTGCCTCTGATGCACAGTCTGCCACCAAGACTTCCTCAGAAACAACATCTGTTCCCAGAGTATCAGTGACAATATCTGCTTCTTCAATGTTATCGTGAACTACATGTTCTACGTGTCCAACTTCAGGTACATGCATTGACTCAGTTGTCAGTACATGTTCTGGTATGGACATTGTCTCTGCTGTTATGTCAGAAGCCAAAACATCATCCGGGACAGTGCAATGAGCCAAAGAAACCTCTTCGGCTACGTCTGTGTCCAGCACTTGTTCAGGAATAATGACTGTTTCAGACACATCTGGCTCGTCCATGATATCTGGGCACTGAACATCCTCGATAACAACATCCTCAATGACATCCTGGATTACTACTGAGTCTGGATCATCAGGAACAAAATTATGCACAGTTATATCTGAGTCGACTACATCTGAAACAAATACTGTTTCCTGTACTTCCACAACAATCTGATCTCCATCCATATGTGTTGCATCAGCTCCTGAAAAACACAATTAAAATAGCATTTAAATTGTAAAACTGTCTCACATGAGGTGGTTAATAATTGAAATTACTTCTGTTTCACTTGAACTTTTAGACTATGCTGCACTTTAGTAGAACTGACATAACAGCATGTCAACCATTAAGATAGGTAGATAAAGCAAGCCCTCAGTAGATGCCAACATAACTAAGATGAACAAGATTTTCTCTCTCAGAAAAGATTTGCAATTTTTAGACTCTCCCCCAATACCCAAACAACTACTACTTGACTGAAAGAACAGTAGCTCATTCATATTGCTCTGAGTAATAAAAACAACCCAAACTCAAAAGCAACTACTCTAGACAAAAGCATTGATGCAGCACAGCACTTCTAAGCAAAGGCAGAATAAACAATAGTCAATTGCATCTAATGTGAACACTTATCTACATATTATCTCCTTACAGACCTGTTGGATCAAAAAATGCATTTGGCTCATGTGGCTGCAATTCAAGCCCATCTTCATCCATGGCCTTTAACTCTCATCAGTCACAGTGTCTGTAGAAGATAAAGAAGAAAGGTTATTTCACTTGTATTAAGTGAAGAAAGTTGTCTCTGTCTATGCACAGAAAAGCTGAAATTTTAGGTGAATGGAAGTTAACACACAGCACCTCATGACTATAAGATTAATCAGATTTCAATCAGGGTTCCCTCAGTCTGGGATTCCAGCAATACTACTCTGGATGACCAAACATCCACTGTCTGTACTAGAGTGCAAGGTCCAACACTCTGGGTCCATTTCTCAAAACCCTAAGGCTTCACAAACACAGAAGCAGCTCATAAACGAATGTGAAAATAAGATTTCCTTATCATCTTAAAAAAAAAAAAAAAATTAAGACAAAGCCTAGGCATATTCCTACTCAAGGATCACAAGTCCATATTTGATGGGGAGGAATATAGAATTGTCAAATTATTAAGGCTCAATATGATAAGTTAAACATAAGAGAGCTCGTTATCTGAAATGCACACCAGTTCTGATGTCCTCATGTTCATTCTTGGACAGTCAGGAAGAGTTCACTCTTATGTCACTTCAGGAACTCTAATCATCAATGTAAACTGCTTCCAAAGCATAACATCAAATGTTTGCAAACCTAGATATGTAAATATTTTCCAAACTCTTGCCCTAAGACAAAGTACCATAAGTATCACAAGTTAGTTCTCAAAAATCACCAAATGTCATGTTCTACCAAAATTTTTGAACAGCACGTCAACATTTCAATGCATAATGTCTTAGAATTTTGATCTTCTTAATGAAAGAACCAAAAAAGACCACCAAGTTAAAATACTTGCAAAAATGTGAAACTGCAATCTGAATTTTGCTGCTTACATATGTGCATTACAGTCAGGATCAGGCAAACCTAGTTAGGTAAAATGCAATCTAACATAAACTTGTACTACTCCCTTGCACTTAAGTCCAACTACTTTCCTACATGCAGAATGAGCAAGAGGCAACAGAATGTTGCTTCATGTTTCTGCTTGTATTACTGTAGAAGTGGAAGATGTTATTTTTCTTCCTCCAAACATTTCTCACAGTCACAGGAAGAAAGCTCCCCATTTCCATGATACTTTCACAAAAGACAGACAAAACATCAAGATTCTACCCAAGGTTTCCATAAGAATCATAACCTTTCCAAATTACATCAACTAACATTTACATTCATTAAGTCTTTATCAGGGAAACTGCTTTACAAAAGTAAAAATTAACTAGTCCAAAACACAAATCTAAACCCATAATGTAGAACAAGCATTTTCTAAACCTGCCTCACTTTTTAGCTCAAAATTTCTCAACTCTTCACCTCTGGAACTCTCCCTTGGGGTGTTGTCCAGCCTCCAGTGCAGTCACTCAGGCCTTGTCTTTTATAGAAATTGAGGGAGAAATATAGCCAGACATTGAACTGGAAGAAAAATAGTGGAACACTAATAATTGTCCAAGGTGTTGTGTCCACAATATTTGTGTGATGCTCAGCTGGAAGGCATCTGTATTTTAAAGACAGCTGTGCTAACAAGTCATTGTGGTATCCAGCTGGACATAAATCACCTCCCAATTATTCTTACTGTCAACCACTTACACCAGAAGAGCCCACCATTAAGAGAAACAGCCCTTCACCCAAAGCTTTTTTTCAGAACCAAGAATAGAAGAAAAGTTTTTCTCAGCCTCAGATGCAAGAAATAGCTTGACTGATGGCAATCAACTTCTGCCATGCCACAGAAACAAGAGCAGAGTAACAAAATACCATACAGTAATTCTAGCAAGAATTATTCATACCCAAAATGCTTTCCTTCCATATATTCAACCAGTCCACTACCAATGTCCTTCCTATTCATCTTGTCATATTTTCTGTGTTATCTTCACTGTTTCATTTCTTGTCTTCTGTTGCTTCTTTTACAGTTTTTTGTATGTCTACATCAATATTATGTTCATTACCTCACCTGCTCATTTCATCCCTCCAGCTTCTAACTACGGTACACTCCCATCATTCACACAAACCTCAGCTACTCATCAATTTGTAGCAAAGATTGTATCAGCAATTAGGAGTGGGGTTTTTGGTAGGTGAAGGGGTACTAAAGGTTGGCAGAAATACAACTGCTTCTCTCCTCAGACAACACACCCATAAGAAGATGGAACTCTCTGTCCAGCTCTCTGGGAAAAGTTCAGATGCCCTTTGTGCCTGTGCTTTTGAGGGCTGTATTATCATACACATCAGCCTGCAATCTGCTGTGACCTGACCAGCCTGAAGTATCAGTTCACCACCAGCTACTGGAAGAACTGGCATTTGCTTTTCCCTGCTTCCTGCTTTCACCACCCACCTGACCATCACTCCACCACAAATTCCCACTTCTTATGATTCATGCCTGTACTTTCTCTATCCTATCCACTCCCTAAATTCCCCATTTCACTAAGTGAGGCACTCTTTCACTGTCCTTTTGTCTATCCTCTTCACTCATGAGATGCAGAGGTCTCCATCACTACTTTCCAGCTTCCTGTAAGTGCCTGCTGACACCATCTCTTCCCTGTTATTCTTGCTGTTACCTGGATTCCAGGGAACAGATGCTAAACCCAAAATGTCCCTGTGGTGTTTAGGAGGTGCAGTTTCACAGCAGTGATAGCCCAGCACACCTTCCACCTGCACACTGCATAACTCTGGCCTCTTCATTGATCAGATCTTCTCACCTACACTGTCAAAATGTGCTCAAAACAAAGGTGCAGGCTCCAACAAACCAAAGACACTTCCTGCACACATGGGCTTTCAAGTCTGTGTCTTAAAAAGGCATCCAACATTTGCTTTGGTGCTTGTTCCAGAGTAGAAAGAAACCTCAATGCTTTCAGTCAGTGAATCTCTTATTAAATAATGTTTCTTATAATGTGCTTTAGCATACAGACCAAGGCAACACATCAGTGCACACCAATTCTTACCCCTGTGCAGGATCATAAAGAGTTTAAAAGTGCTCCACAAGGGCACAGGCCCCACATCCACAGAAATCTGCAGCAAGAAAAAATCTGCATCCAAAAGAGGATGCAGGCACTTTAAACAGGAATTAATGGGACTATCTGAAATAATAAAAGTGTCCAAATCAGAACCTGCAGTCTAAAACAGCATAAAGTAATTTATCTATGGCTGCGGCAAAAAATACAAAAATATTTCCAAAATCACTTCAGGGTTTGAGCATTCTAACAAGGAGATGAGAAAACACTGTTTCTTCCTGCTTGCTCTTCTGAGCAGAGGGTGAGCACAGGGGCACAAGACATAGCCACACAAAGGAAGGAACACCACAGGGTTCTCTACCTGTAGCGGCAGCTCCGTGACACAAGATATACCAGAGCTGCTTCTTGCAAGCACCACAGAGAACATCTTCAATTCCTTGGCAAGCACCCCAAGCTCTGTGGTACCATAAAGGCTAGGAAGCAATTCCAGCTGTTCACTATCCTGCAAGATTTCAAGAAGGACAGAAACTCCTCTCATCCTTCCAAAACATTCTAGCTGACACTTACCACAGGACCTGGCATCAAAGCCAACAGAATCAATTATTCAGTTCCAGCTTGGGAATCCAAAGTCTGAAAGAAAAGCAGGTTCCCAGCCATGTCCCTACACTTAGTCCTTCTCTTCTGGCTCTTTGTTCATATCTCAGGATTTCCAGTAACACTCCTACCACTGTGACAAAAAAACCTGAGGCACCCAGAATCAGGTTTTATAACTTCTGAATAGAACTAAACATCTCCAACCTTTTACTTGGCTTGGGTCCATGCCAGCTTACTCAAGGTAACATTTTCAAGTGGAAGGACAGATGGAAAATTACATATTAATGGAAGAAATGGAATTACTATATTAGCAATAACCTTCCAAAATGAAAATGATCATGCGAACAATCAGTCAAGAGAAACAATGCAGACAGTACACTAGTCCTGCCACATTACAGGTCCTTGACTCAACAGACCTAGCAAGGCAATCAAGATGAAATAAAAAGAAACACTTTAAAAATAGAGTTCCTTAAAAAAAGTTCCTTAATATTCCACAGAAACGGTTTATCTGCTCTCACCAAAAAATAAATTTAAAAAAAAAAAAGAAAGGAAAATGGGGAAAAAGGAAAAGGAGAGAAAAGAGGAAACCTCAGAAAATCCATCCCTGTGAAAAAGAAATATATAGGCATAGTCATTTGCCTACTCGGAATTCGCAATAAGGCCATAAAGCAAGTATTCAGACATTGAAACTCTTACAAATCAAGGCGTAAAATGGCAAAATTCCCCATGTGCAAATCTGGCCCCTACCCACGCTGGGATGACTTAGTGTACAGCCACAACCATGTTCCCGTCGTGCCTTGCTACATCCCATTAAAAATTGCGGCACGCCTGGCGTGTCCCAATTGGGTCAGAGCCCCGAGCCACCGAGGCTTCGCGGTGCTCCTGAGGCAGCTCTGGGCTCAGTCCACGCCACTGCTGCAGTGTCACAACTCGCCTGACGTGACCCACTTGTGGGGAACGCAAGGCACACACACACACACGCTGCTTTCAGTCGCACGCACACGAAAGGCAAAAAAAAATAGAATAAAATTACACTCCTGTAGGATTTAATTCCGGCCTTGAAAATAACCCCCGTTATTACTAGGTGCAGAAACAGAAGAATAAAAACGATGTTACAAATGTAACAACGTGATCATTCAGCTGCTAATTTCTTGACGCATCTCCGTCACTTTTGGCAGGAGAATCAGTGCTGCCGCTTTCATTCCAATTCTACAAAAAAAACCCCTCAAGTCATTTCCCTCTTTGTTGTAGTTCACTGGTGGGGTATTTGCAGAAACCGCTTAAAGAAAAGGGTTTTCTCCAGATTTTACTGGGATGTTGTGCGCCAGACGACAGTAATTCCAAAGGAAATAAGCTAATTCTTAACGAAACCTAAATTGGGAAAATGACCGATCCCAGGCGCACCTTTGAACCAGCACCAAGGGGGCCCCAAGGGGATTAGGGGGCTGCTTACAGGGCGAGTGGGCGAAGGCGGCTGCGGGAGAGCTCCCGGCGCTGCCGAGCCCGCGGCGCCCGAATCCCCGGCCGGAGGAGAGGAAGGAGATGGCGGGGCAGGAGAGGACCCGGCCGGCAGTCCCGGCGCGGTCGCGCAGGGAGCCACCGCGGGCCGGAACGCGCCTCGCTCCGCTGCGCCTCTTAGTGT